TGATGGTTGGCGCTTGCGTTATTTTATTTATTTTATTAATAAATAAGGAGACCAATAAGCGCCACGGGTTGTATGGTGATTGGCGCTTGCGTCATATAATGTATTTTATAAATTATTGAAGCTCGTGCGACTGCTAATGGACGCGTTGGGTTATTGAGTTAAACAGCTTAGAATTGATTCATTAGGTTATTGGGTATGAAATTTTGTCAAGTTCGTTGGGGTTTTGCGTCTTGCTCTATATAGCCAATTACGATTTCCCGCAAGTTTGGCAGTCACATTTGAGAGCACTGCTTTGCCATATTTATAACCAACTCGCACACAATCCTTATCAACCAATCACTAGCTTGGAATCTCATGTCTGTGAGCTTCATAAATGTGAGTGACATATATCAATAGACGTGAGCAATATACAGAAATATACAGTTTTTAAATCGAGTTCTGAACATGGCAACTTATCCGCCACACTGTCACTTGACCCTCTGTACTATCACTCCCTTGAGGATCACTAATTTCGGGGCGTCTGTTTCTTCGAGGTGGGCGAATACTGGTATTATGTCAATGAAAGCACTGCTCACGTCTTTATTGGGATAATAGTCGGGGTGCCAGAGGTTCAAAAAATGGGTTATTTCGTGGTTGGACGGAATTTGATGAAACCTGGCAGAAAGGAAATGTCATTGCCCGTACTGTGACCCATTAAAAAAGTTAGAATGAGCGATGTCGGGAAGGTACTTGTTATTGCAAAATAACTTTGATAACCCGTTTTTTTTTTTCAGTTTTCTTAGAATAACTGGAAAACGAAGCGTTTCAGCGAAAAATTTTTAATACAAAAGTTGTTCAGCTGATGATTTTACGTAGGAATATGGTTTTTTGATTAATTAAAAAATTGTTTTTCTGACCGAAAACCAGCAGAAAAGTAACAAAACATGCTAAAACAATAAGCATTGAAAAATAAAGGAAAAAAACAATTTCCATCGTTAATATTTAGGTTATTGATAGGTATTAGTATTGTTAACCAAATGCACCCGGTCCGGTTTTTCAAAAACAATATGGCGACCTATTGCAAAATTGTTACGTTAAAACTTTGGAACGCTGTAAATTCTGACTGAAAAAACAGATCTTGATGAAACAAATTGGAATCGGTAGGTATTAACGGCATCTTTGAGTGTGCCAAATTTCAAAATTTTTCAACAATTAGTTTTTTTGTTATTAACCAAAAGCCATTTTCTGTGCTTCGTAATTTCGTCAATTGACAACATTAAGCTTTGCAACAAAATGCATTTGATTACTCTTAATTTATAATGAATTTACAAAAAAAAATGTTTATTGTAGGATGTCTAGAAGCCGAGATACGATACTTTTACATTTTTGCTTGTACTACCCGATCTACTGAACGTAGGCAATCCAAACTTGGATATGTACTTTTCAAAAGTTCCAGCTACACGGCAAAAATAGTGCGACATTAATTGTTGCAGTATTTGTTGAGAAATCGTTTATTTCATTCAGTCTGTTTGGGCGGCTTGAGCGCGAGGGCGCTCTGCTGCGTTGATAAGGACGTGCGCCGTACCGACATGCGGCCCACGTAGCCGTCGCTTTTATCGTTAATTGCAAAATGAATTACTCGACAACAAAGGCACGTACGATAATTGATTTTTTTTTAATTTGCGTGTTTTTTTCCCGATCTTTACGATGCAGTTCTTAGTTTTACGCTAAAAGACATATAAAGGCCAAAAAAATAGAAAAAATCATCAAAACTCACTATTTTCGCGTTTTTAGTCACCACTGTACGATGTCTTGCTAAGGAGGATCCATGGGAGTGCTCTATAAATATTAACAGACCCAACATTCATTGCAGCTATCCATTTTATTTCTTGTAATAAAACAAATGTTTGTATTACAAAAGAAAAATTGACCAACTACAGAAATCGTGGTTTTTTTGACGTAGGCTCGACTGCTTCCTCTTCAACATTGTCCTCTAAAGTATCACTTAACAATGTATAGATAACATCCTCTTCTGTTTCCTCTTCGGGCTGGATACATTCAATATTTTCGATGATTTCTGTACCATGTGCTAACTCTTGATAAATATTATTTTCCGCATCAGTCATATCGGCGCTCTCGTAAACATCGACAGGTACGTGCTCTAAATTTGTACAATTTTTTCCCTCACAGTTTTTACAAAATGAGGAACAAGTTATACCTAATTTGCGACAGGAGCATAACTTTGTTTGACAGCCTTTTCAGCAATTGCAGTAGATCAGGTTTAAATATTTTTCAGGAATAGTTGCAACTGTTGTCATCACTGGGAGTAATCCATTTTTTGTTCGTTTCCAACGATAATCTGTTGCAACTTTTGTTGTGTCTATTTCCCATGCTCTTAACTGAAAGTATGCACGCAAGCAATGTTTTTCGACTGCAGCCTCCGTTGGTGGTAGAACTGCAATATTACTGACGTGTTTAATCGACGTCCGTTTGAATAGGGTAAAACGCAGCTCGTTTAATTGTTTATTATTTGTTGAACCATACACAGCACACACGTATTTCAAAGCAGCACTTATAAGCGAGGATGACTGCGCGTTCGGTATCTTACACTGCTATTACGCAGTGTTTGAGTTGATACAAACAGCTGCAATGGATGTTGGGTCTGTTAATATTTATAGAGCACTCCCATGGATCCTCCTTAGCAAGACATCGTACAGTGGTGACTAAAAACGCGAAAATAGTGAGTTTTGATGATTTTTTCTATTTTTTTGGCCTTTATATGTCTTTTAGCGTAAAACTAAGAACTGCATCGTAAAGATCGGGAAAAAAACACGCAAATTAAAAAAAAATCAATTATCGTACGTGCCTTTGTTGTCGAGTAATTCATTTTGCAATTAACGATAAAAGCGACGGCTACGTGGGCCGCATGTCGGTACGGCGCACGTCCTTATCAACGCAGCAGAGCGCCCTCGCGCTCAAGCCGCCCAAACAGACTGAATGAAATAAACGATTTCTCAACAAATACTGCAACAATTAATGTCGCACTATTTTTGCCGTGTAGCTGGAACTTTTGAAAAGTACATATCCAAGTTTGAATTGCCTACGTTCAGTAGATCGGGTAGTACAAGCAAAAATGTAAAAGTATCGTATCTCGGCTTCTAGACATCCTACAATAAACATTTTTTTTTGTAAATTCATTATAAATTAAGAGTAATCAAATGCATTTTGTTGCAAAGCTTAATGTTGTCAATTGACGAAATTACGAAGCACAGAAAATGGCTTTTGGTTAATAACAAAAAAACTAATTGTTGAAAAATTTTGAAATTTGGCACACTCAAAGATGCCGTTAATACCTACCGATTCCAATTTGTTTCATCAAGATCTGTTTTTTCAGTCAGAATTTACAGCGTTCCAAAGTTTTAACGTAACAATTTTGCAATAGGTCGCCATATTGTTTTTGAAAAACCGGACCGGGTGCATTTGGTTAACAATACTAATACCTATCAATAACCTAAATATTAACGATGGAAATTGTTTTTTTCCTTTATTTTTCAATGCTTATTGTTTTAGCATGTTTTGTTACTTTTCTGCTGGTTTTCGGTCAGAAAAACAATTTTTTAATTAATCAAAAAACCATATTCCTACGTAAAATCATCAGCTGAACAACTTTTGTATTAAAAATTTTTCGCTGAAACGCTTCGTTTTCCAGTTATTCTAAGAAAACTGAAAAAAAAAAACGGGTTATCAAAGTTATTTTGCAATAACAAGTATCTTCCCGACATCGATCATTCTAACTTTTTTAATGGGTCACAGTACGGGCAATGACATTTCCTTTCTGCTAGGTTTCATGAAATTCTGTCCAACAACGAAATGAAAACCTCTGGCACCCCGACTATAAACTACCTATCAATTTTCTCCCAGTTTAAGCAATCAGTCACTTCCTTTCAACATTATCTAATGAGCATAAACACATGTATACAAGGATTTAGTATATGGCCTAGCTATACACAACGGTGTGTTCGAAAATAAATTTAGAATGTAATATGCAAACGTTTACTCACTTCAAGACTTCATAGTGCTTTTTAGTCACATTTATCTTCAGTTTTGGCGACCTATTTCTTATTGTGTCCAAATAGTAAACCATAATCTAACTGACAATAGAGTAAAAAAAAAAACAGATGACACATCATTTCACATGGCATATTAAATAATTATTTTTACGTAATGCGATGGAAAACCCAATTACTCAGCTTGAATAAGTGCATTTATGTTTGTATTATATAGATAATATGAATGATTTGGCAATTATGTGCTATGAACTTCACACCAGATAAGAATTGTCATTAATAACAACATTTTGCGGTAATATGCATACAAAATTTTAGCTGACACCTAGAAAGGAATGTCAGCTAGCGTTTATGGAAAGGGTAATTACATAATCCTTTTATCTTGAAAATCTAGTGTGGCAGTATTTAATCAGGGCCCTAAATGAATACTTAGTTAAACGTTTACACTTTCTTCAAAAGATTGTAGATTATAAGTAAAAAATTACATGATACAAGGCCACATGGATCATCACAAGCTTTATGATATTTAACAAAAAACATATATTAAAAGAAGGAGCCTACAATACGTCTGAATAAATACCAGCTCAAAAATTATGTTAATGTGGTCTTATAAAACCATAGGATAATTTTTTGTATACAATGTATATAAACAACTATATTAATAACATGAATAAAAAATTTAAGTACTGACAGGGTTTCAAAATTTCAATTAAGTTTACCCTTTCTACTTTAAGCACTTTTATTTTAGGTACAAACAGTAAGACTGAAAAAGCCGTATTTTGCACCCATTCATACTGAATTAACATAAGAAAAATGAACTGATTTAATAAGTTAAGATGTATCAAAATTTTGTTTTTTGAAATTTTGAGAAAAAGATGTATTTTTTTAAGTATTTAGGTTAATCATGACAGTCAGTCAAATCCTATTTTTATCCTGAACTTTCTCAATACTTACTACTCCAGGAAGATTAGCATATTTAGGGTCAATCATTTTCGCATAATCTTGTACAATTGTTCAGTGTGTGATTAACTTTCAAGGGTAAACGTGAACGACTATCGGTGTACAAGGTATTTTTATTTTTTTACGACCCACTAACTTCGACCACACTATTGTATGCACATAAAGATGCTTCTAGGCACGTTCGATTTTCATCGTTCGTTCCTTCGGTTCGCTCGTTTCGTTCGTTTCGCTTGTGCAGTTCGCTTATATCCACTAAGTGAGCTCAGACATTTTGTACTCAATGGCTTGGGTCATCCACTTCTAGAAATAAGAATAGCCGTTAACTGTCACAAAGGTTCTAAATAATTGTCTTTTGTATTGATATGTGAGCTTATTTTAAAATAGACACCACGTCTAACGAGCATAAGAAACGACTGAACAGCACAAACTGTACGAGAGAAACGAACGAACGATGAAAATCAAACGTGCCCTATTTCTCTATGGCACGGTATAAGATATGGGGGTGTAATCCGCAATCGCCGCCAGCAGTTACATATATGTAAGACGTGACAACGTTGCGTGGTTGGGGGCGATACTGTCGATTTACTGGTGATGTGATCCGCAATCCCGCCAGCAGTAAAGTAGACAACGTCGGTCTACTTACTCTTTTTCGTGACATTTTTGCTGTGATCCCGCGCAATCCCGCTAGCAGTAAAGCTGTTATTTCCATTTTTCTTTTTGGCACTTGAAACTATTTTTTTTGGTCTGCGTGTTTGTTTACGTCTAGCACAATATGCTTTGTTCACAATCAGAAAATGTCACGAAAAAGAGCAAGTAGACTGACGTCGTCGGCTTTACAGCTGGTGGGATCGCGGATCACATCACCAGTAAATCGACAGTAGCGTCCCCAACCACGCAACGTTGTCACGTCTTACATATATGTAACTGCTGGCGGCGATTGCGGATTACACCCCATTTTCACTCATGAAAGCTTTCACCGGTAAACAACAAGGCTTATATGCCACTTGGGCATGTAAGCAATTTATACTCTAGCTATTGGTTATTAGATCTGTACCTTAGTCACACTAATCATTGACAAAGACGAGTGAGTTTTCACTGCATACATTTTATCCGTGTATTCGCACCATAATCGCGGTTTTAACAAAAAACAGTTTAAACAAGTAACTTTTTAATTGGAAATGCTAACCAACGATGACTTTTCAAAGTATAGGACTAAAATGAATAAATCCTTACAACAGTAGTACCTGAAGTTGTTACCTTTCGAATAGCCAAGCTTTTCTTTTTGCGTATTTCGCGTACAAACATTTTATTCCGTTCTGACCCCCATAGAACAACCTCTCGGTGTGCGTGTGTAGGTATGCAAACAACAATTTTTTATTGCATTTAAAGCTAGTAAATAAAGTATGGGTGGACAAGTCATTGTAATACGTCTGTGAGTCATACGAGCACTACAAACATAAAAAATTCCATTCCAAACTTTTTCATTCCGACCCTACCTCACCTCAAAAAAAAAAAAACTACTAATACTACTACTACTATCACTACTACTACTACTACTACTACTACTACTACTACTACTACTACTACTACTAC